CTCCTCAAAGAGGACAGGGAGCCCGTAAGCAAACACGATATCCAATTCCGTACATGAGGACCCACGAGGAGTCAAGCATAGGGCATGAGGGAAAGCAGGTCCTAGGTGAAGGTGTGCACAACCAGACAGACACTGGTAGTGGGCTCTGTGGGGACAGGGGGTGGGGCACGGTGCACACAAAAAAACCCAAACCAGACGACATTTGAAATCCCTCAGCACTGGTCAGTCGGGCTTGACTTGGAGTCTGTTTTAGGAAAATGGTCAGCACTGCTTCACAGCCACAGTGGGCAAGACACACTGTCACCATGTCTTTGCCCAGGCTGCTCAGCAAATGTTGACTGAGGGGCTCAGGGCTTCCGACAAAGAGTGGATGAGTGGTTAGTAAATCCGGAGAACACAGCTGATCCAATTTCACTAACCCCTAGTCCAAACTGAGTAATTTGCACAAACACCTGGCAAGCCCCTCCTGTTTATAAGCAAGGACTCCATGCCAGAGGTCCTTATCAGCTCCAACTAATCCCAGGGTCTCTGCTTATTTCTTTTTTTCCTCTTAAATACAGAACATACAAGAATCAATTGGGAAGGCAAGGATGAGTCGACCAGGGCACGGCATAGCACCGATGAAACACACGATATTTTCCTGGTTCTTTGAAGGGTCCTCATCCTCCACTATCATGACCCCAGGCCTGCCTTTCAGTTTGGGCTAGACTGGAGCATGAACACTGGTACAGATAAGAGCTCACAACACACGGAATCCAGGTCAGATGAACCCCCCAGGAACAGAATTGGGCGGGTAAGGGGCAAGTGGAGGGAGGAAGGGAGGTAGGAAGAACCAATCACAATGACTGACATATAATTCGTGGCCCCCTCCCGGGGACGAACAACAGAAACCTGTGTGAAGGGAGGCATCAGGCAGTGCAGGACATGAAGACAATAATCATGTAAGAGTTGTCAAGGGGTTGAGAAGGAGGGACGCAGGGAGGAGGGGGGAAGAGGAGCGGATACCAAGGGCTCAAATAGAAAGTGAATGTTTAGCAAAGAATGATAGCAACATAGGTACAAATGTGCTTGAGACAGTTGATGTACGGATTGTTATAAGAGGCCCCAAGAAAATGATATTTGTTAAGAAGAATCAATTGGGCGGCGTGCGTGGGCTGGTGTCATAAGCACAACGCAAGGGCCCCGCCCACAGGAGCACAAGCAAGGGCTCCTGCCAACCGTGCACCCAGGTGTTACCAGAACCGTGCTGATCCTCGTCTTGCACGCACAGGGCCTGGGCCTTTACAGCACCCTCTTCCACCGTCAGGCGAGCTCGCGAGGGGTTACTGAGTGGTTCAGCGCATGGCAGAGGGGCAGCCTGTGAAGGGCACAGCCCTCACCCCGTCAGGCAGCGTTCAGCGCCCAGGTGTGTTCCGGGGAACTGGACGTTGTGCGAGTCGGATGCTGTGCGAACCCCATCTGGTCCTGCCTTTTCTTTAAGCAGGTGTGTGACTCAGCAGTGGCCGTGCCTGGTCCTCCATCCTTATCCTTCGCCCCTTCTGCACACCTGGTGGGGGCCCTCTCTCATCATGCTCCTCAGCTTTGCAGCGTTCTGTGGAGACCACTCTGGAAGGGTGTGGCCAGGTTTTCTCTCTGGGAGGCGGTGGTGGGACTTTGAGTGGACAGGGGTGGGGGTGGGGTGCACGGCTGTATTTCCCTCTCTTTGCTGTCTCACCAATGTCGCTATGAAAATACCCACAGGGTGTCCAATTGAAGATGTTGAACAAACCATCTTGGGGCCTCTGATACTAGCAGGACCCCAGCAAGGAGAAACCTCAGCGGGCCCTGCAGAACACAGGCCCTTTGGAAAGCCGCCGTGACAACGGACGGACACAATAAAACATTTTTAAAACGAGGCCAAGCTCACTGCCATCGAGTCAGTGTCGGCTCATAGCAACCTTATAGGGCAGGGCAGGAATGCCCCTTTGATTTCCAAGACTGTACCTCTGTAGGGGAGTAGACAGCCTGGTCTGTCTCCTTCCAGGCAGCTGGTCGTTCCCAACTGCTGACCTTTCGGATTGCAGCCCAATGAGTAACCACTGCCCCACAGGACTCCTCTCGCAGTGAAATGCAGGGTGGGGTATAGACGTCTTGGTTAATTCAATTAACTTCTAAAGGAACCCTTGCCCTGGCGGCCCCGTGTCCCGGTTAACCCTGCGTAACTGATTTGGATTCAAGAGGCTGTGGCGTGGCAGCACTCCAGCAGGGGATAATCCAAAAGCCAATTATACTTGCTTTGGAACACACAGCTTTCCTGTGGGTTAGCTCTGCCTCTCTCGAGCTCAGGCATTTATAAACAGATAAATCCCAGG